GATGCTTCGGAAGGATGGAGACCAGCCGAAAGGAGGTTTAAAATTTGGGGCAGCCTCTCGTAAAGAAAGCTGGTGTGGTGTAAATGATGAAGGCACCAGGCTAGCAACCGGGAGATAGTGAGTTCTAGTACGGCCTTAGGCATAAAGACAGCGGGGGTGGGGTGGGGGGGTGATTGGGCCAGTCACTCTCAGTCTTTCCTCCTTCCCTCCCCTCCTCCTTTCCTTTTTAAAAAATTCTTTCTCATTCCCCTTTATCTTTTCTTTCTTCTTTTCCTTCCTTCCTATATTCCTTCTTTCCTGCCTGTCTTCCTTCCTTCCTCCCTCCTATCCGTCTTCCTTCCCATCCTTTCCTTCCTAACTTCCTTCCTTCCCTTCCCTTCTTATCCTCCTTCTTTCCTGCCTGTCTGCCTGTCTTCCTCCCCTGTCCTTTCCTTCCTTCCATCTTTCTTTCTTTCCTTCCTTCTTCCCTCCCTCCTTTCCATCTTTTTACTTCCTTCCTTCCATTTTTCCTTCGTTCCTTTCATCTTCCTTCCTTCAATTTTTTTCTTCCTTCCATCATTCCTTCCTTCCATCTTTCTTTCCTTCCATCTTTCCTTTCTTCCTCCCTTCCTTCTTCCCTCCCTCCTTTCCATCTTTTTACTCCTTTCCTTCTTTCCATCTTTCTTTCCTTCCATCTTTCTTTTTTTCCATCTTTCCTCCCTCCCTTCCTTCTTACCCCCCTCCTTTCCATCTTTTTACTATCTTCCTTCCTTCATTCCATTTTCCTTCCTTCCTTCCTTCCCTCCTTCCTTCCTTCTTTCTTTTCTTCCATCTTTCCTTCCTTCCTCCCTCCCTTCTTACCCCCCTCCTTTCCATCTTTTTACTACCTTTCTTCCTTCATTCCATTTTTCCTTCCTTCCTTCTTCCTTCCTTCCATCTTCCTTCTTTTCCTCTTTCCATCTTTCCTTCCTTCCATCTTTCTTTCCTTCCATCTTTTTTCCTTCTCCTTTCTTCCTTTCCATCTTTTTACTCCCTTCCTTCCATCTTTCCTTTCTCCCTTCCTTCCCTCCCTCCCTCCCTCCCTCTCTCCCTCCTTCCTCATTTTCTCACAAAACCAATGAAGTGGAATGAAAGGGGGGAAAAAACCCTTATTGTCTCAGACAAACCCCATTGATAGCTTCCTGCACCCTTTGTGGGATAGGGTTGGACTATCTGACCTCTATTGACCCCTTCCAACTTTCCATTCCTTCATTCCATGAGGTTAATGCATCTGAAACGCATTAACGCCAAAGAGATCCTTACCCAGATTTGCACAGGAAAATCAATCCAGAGTCTTTGATGGTATTGAATCTGTGCATTGATGATTTTGTGTGTGAGAGAGAGAGGGAGGGGAAGGGAGAACTACTGAATTTCTGGCCAACAAGCAGAACCTTCACTCCCCAAAACCTCCCTAAAAGGTGTTAGGAATTATCCTGCAGCATTATCCTGTGATTTAGGACTGCTTTCTGCACTTACAACCAGAATAATAGAAGACTATAACAGAGTTGGAAGGGACCTGGGAGGTCATCTAATCCAACCCCCGGGTCAAGCAGAAGACCGGCTACCCTTCCAGACAAATGGTTGTCTGATTTCTTCTTAAAAACCTCCAGTGTTTTTACCCAGTGTCATCATCCCCCTGGTCATGCAATCGAAATTCAGACACTGGACCGGCGACTCACATTTATGACGGTTGCAACATCCTCGGGGGTCACGCGATCCCCTTTTTTGCGATCTTCTAACCACTGGAAAGCCAGATTCACTTAACAACCAGGTAATTAATACCTTGAGGGGATTCAACAACCGTGGCAAGAAAGGGGGGGGAGTTGAGGGTTTGCCACGGTCTTGCTTAGTGACAGAAATTTCTGGTCATAAGTCAAGGAGTATCTGTATCACATGAACCACTCCAATTTTTTTTTGTGTGTGTGTTTTGTTTTGGAAGAGAGAGAGAGGGGGGGGAGGCGGATCAAAGCGAGGGGTTTTCTTGATTTTCCCATTAGCTGAACGATTAACATTCCCGGCGAACAAATGATAATTGAGCCCAGTTTTTCAAATATTAATGGCTTCAAAGTTATTTATACGAGGCCTGGCATTTATATTTGATGAGAGCTGCCAACAAGGAAGCATTTTGCTTTCCTTCCTTCCTTCCTTCCTCCCTCCCCTCTCTCCCTCCCTCCTCCCCCCCATTTTTCCACTCCCCCCATCGCTCATTTCCAACTTAGCACACGAAAGCAGGCCCTTAGATTTATTTTTACAGTTATTCCCCATAGGAAGACTTCTCAAAGGCTGCTGGTGGGGAGAGAAAGAGGGGAGGCCTAGAAGAGATCCTTTGTTCCCAAGGAAAAAAAAAAGGGAATATGTTATCACCTTTTTGTTGGGGGGTAAGAGGTACGCCTGCCTGGCGTGAACTCTCCTTTCATGAATGCAAAACGCAGAAGAAACATTTACACGAGGGTTGCAATTGTGTGGTGACTTGGCTCAGAGGCAGAAAGGGGCTGCGGGACGGATTTGGAAGAATTAAAAAAAAAAACACATCCTCCAAACGAAAGAGGGGGGGAAATGTTCTTTCTTTTCATTGAAAAAGAAAGAGGAAATAAAGCACGAGAGAATCCTTTGCTTTAAACGCGAGCGAAAGAACAAAGATTCGTTTCAAGCTTCCCTCCGCTTCCCTTTAAAAAAAAATATCCTTTTATGTTTTTCTTTTGAATATCTTTCCGAAACATGAAACAGCCAATGTGGATTTGCAGCCCTGATGGAAGCCTGCTTTTATTTGCATTAGAGTTATGTATGTATGTATGTATGTATGTATGTATGTATGTATGTATGTATGTATGCATGCATGCATATGTGTGTGTGTTTGTGTTTGTGTAGAGATAGAGAGAGAGGGGGGAGGGAGGGATATAGATATATAGATATATAGATATAATCTATCTACAATATATCTATATCTATCTCTGTCTGTCTGTGTCTGTCTGTCTTGCCATCTGTCTATCTATCGTCTTTCTGTCTGTCTATCTATCGTCTATCTATCATCATGTCTGTCTGTCTGTCTCTCCGTCCATCCATCCATCCATCCATCCATCCATCCATCCATCCATCCATCCATCCATCCATCCATCCATCCATCTCTATCCATCTGTCTGTCTGTCCGNTCTGCAAGGAATATAAATCCTTCCATTCCCCACCATCCAGTCAGAGCTGAAGAAGCTTCTTGGATGAGAAGCGAAAAATATTCAAAGAAAAACAATAAAGTCCAGTTGCCTCCTGAAAAAGCACCTTTGGGACAATCATGACCAGGAGAACGGAGGATCTCTACAGACTTCCATTCAGTAACTATAGATCCAGTTTAAAGCAAGGATTGTTACCCCGCAATGTTCTCGAGATACACCTGCTACTTCTCCGGTTTATTGTTGCTACAACTAGCCTCGCAGGGCGACGTGACCTGAGCCTGTCGGTTTTGACTACAACTAGAATGAGCAGGAATCAGAAACGGGAAAATTTGCTGTAAATACGTCTCTCCAAACCACAAAGCAACAGTTGCTCTGTGAGCTCTTGACTGGCTCTTGGTTCAGAGCAGGAAAGGGGCAACAGTCAATCCCCTTCCCTGTGGCCTCTGTATCTCCAAACCATGCCAATGGGAAGGTACAAAATCTTCGTGTTATGTAGCATTGTTAGAGAAGGGGAGAAAACCCCTGCACTGCAAACCTAACTACTGTGTGTGCAGGCAGGCAGGCAGGCAGGCAGGCAGGCAGGCAGGCAGGTAGGTAGGTACCAGTGGTGGGTTACAGCCGATATGCCCCGGTACGGGCGTACTGGTGCCTGCTGGGAGCACCAGGTACCGTTCCGGTACGGTGTTTCAGAAGGCCCGCGTGCCCGCTCTCCTTACCTGTATTTTACCCAACCGGGCCATTTGCGGATGCGCACACAGCATACGGTGCCTGTGCAACGCTCCGCCAAGCAGCTGGAGCGTCGCAGGGCAGTGGTGTGCATGCATGCGCAGCGGACGCCAGGCTCCATCGTAGCATATCGGTTGCGACGGGATTCGGAACCCACCACTGGCAGATACCTTGTTTCCCCTAAAAAAAAGACCTCCCCGGATAAGATGAGCGCAGGCGCTAAAATAAGCCCTCCCCCTGAAAATAAGCCCTTCCCGAAAATATTGCAACACAGCAGCCGCCATGAAGTAACCACGCTTGCAGCCTCCTGCACCTCAAAAATAATAAGACCTCCCCAAAAATAAGGCCAAGCGCTTATTTCGGGGAGGGGGGTGTCAAAAGAAAATAAGACCCTGTCCTATTTTGGGGAAAACATGGTAGGTAGGTAGGTAGGTAGGTAGGTAGGTAGGTAGGTGTAGAGATAGGCTAGCAGAGTCACCATAATGTTATGACTATTTCATGTCAAGCTTAAATATATAAAATATTGTAATTTAAAACTTTGCTGTGATCTCCTTGTTTTTATTGTTGTTGTTTTGTTTGTGTTCGCTGAATCCCCTGCAATTTTTTTTAAAAAAATATTTTTCCTAAGCCCTCCATTCACCTGACTCTGGATATCATATAACAGCCCCCCCTCTCTAATCTGTGGCTTAGTTTCAAAACTGAGAAATAACTATGAAAAAATCAAGACAACCGATTGCAAAATCCGATTAAAGCTAAAAAAAAAAAAAAAAAAAACCCCCACACATTGCAACGCCATCCTACACAAATCGAGAATCTTTAAAAGGCTAAATTAAAACACAAAATAGGCAGAGGAATTGTTGGAATTCTGCCAACAGCTGCCACCACCTGCCCAGTGTCTCTTAATGCCATTTTAAGGTTATTTGGTCCATTTCTATGGGCTGCTTCAGTTGAGACCAAAGCAAGAACGGTTAGCAAATGGCCACTTTCTCCAGTGTAAAATTCAGTCATCTCTATTTGGAGGTTAAAGTATTAGACTCAAAATCAACTAAAGTTGTACAGCTTCGGAGACAAAAAGGTGAGGAAGCTTACATCAAAGGCCCGATCAATGTGGCCAGCATGATACTCGTCAAAAAACGTGATTAGGTCTAACAGAAGGTAGAACGTTGAGTCAACTGGCTTCTTGGTGCTTATTCCTTGGGCTTTATATCTGCAACAAATGGAAAGCAGACAAGCCATTAAAACTTTGGGAATGAGGATTATCTAAATTGGATAAATGGGATAGATATTAAAGGTAAAGATAGAGATAAAGATGAGGAGTTAGGCATTTCTTGTTTATGTATGTTTGAACAATGTAATGAGGATTACTTCAATTTGATCAATGGGATAGAGATTACTAGTACTGTTATTGTGAATTGGACTAATATGAATGATAGAACCAATTCTGTTCACACACAGTACGGATGTATATATATTTTTAAAATAGTAATAATAATAATTAGGTAGGTAGGTAGGTAGGTAGGTAGGTAGACAGACAGACAGACAGACGGACAGGCAGATAGATAGCCTAGATCAGAATAGACCCATCCCTAAAACGCAGCAGCATATCTGCTATTTTAACTCCGTGCGTGACCTCTGGCTGCATAATCCAAGGCTTCTCCCAAGCTTTGGTGTACCAAGGTCAAAAGAAACCTGGCTAATCTGGCATGGGCAGGAATTCTCAAGCCCCCGCCCCAGGCCAGTCACTTACCTCTCAGCAATGGCATGCGCCATGTTCTTCAGCCTTTCCTTGTTGGATTGGGGAGCGCTGACCTGAGACACGATGGGGCTTAGCAGCTTGTTCATCAGCTCAAGGACCTTGTCGGCGTTCTGAGGGAGGCACAAAGAGAGAAAGGGGGCATTGCAGGACCAAGTCAGGAGGCCTTTTGGAAGAAATCATGAGGGGTGGGGGAGGAAGGGGGAGAAGGGCAGGCTCTGGGTCAACCGAGAGTGGCGGCAGTGAGCACAGTCAGCAAAAAGCTTAAGAGAAGCCTCATGCTTTATATCTACAACAAAGTAAAAGCAGGTCTGCCATTAAACCTTCTGGAAGGCTTCACAGCTTTTTGCTACTTCTTTTTTAATAATCTTTATTACCATATTTTTCAGAGCATAAGACGTACTGGAGTATAAAACGTACCAAGATTTTGCACTCTGCAGACCTCCCAAAAGCGGCCTATTTTTTTGTGAAAACGGGCCCATCCACCCCCCAAAAAAGGGGCATGAATAGCATTTAGGAGGCTTGTAGAGTGCTCCTGGCTGGAGGGGCAAAATTGAGCCAAAAACGGCCCATTTTTCACTCATTTCTGCCCTCCTAGCACCCAGGAGCACTCTGGAAGCCTCCTAAAGGCTATGCACAGGCATTTTGGTGAAGCGGGTGGGGTTTCAGGAGGCAAAAAATGCTTTATTCGGTGTATAAGACACACCCAGATTTTCAGCCTCTTTTTTGAGGGGAAAAGGTGTGTCTTATACTCCGAAAAATATGGTAGTTTATAAAGTAGCAGGCAAAGAAAATACAAAAGTAAAACAACAGGAGAAATAAGGAAGGGAAAAGGGAAGAGAAAAGCCAGGGAAAGATGAAGAGGAAAAAGAAAGAAAAGGTCTTATGACTTCTGACTCCCTTCGGGGCAGTAGAAGAAGGCATTAACATCAAACCTCAACTTTTTACTTTCAGATAATAGTTTAAACCAGGGGTGTCAAACTCAAGGCCTGGGGCCTGGATCCCGCCTGCTGGGTGCTTAGATCTGGCCTGCGGGGCCGCCCTGGAAACAGCAATGGACCGGCCCCTGGTGCTTCTGCCAGTGAAAACAGAGCTAGGGAGGGCTGTGGCTGCCCTCCCGAGCTCCGGTTTCACTGGCAGAGGGTTGCAGGAGGCTGTCGCAGCCTAAAATGGAGCTCGGAAGCCCGTTTTCACTGGTAGAGTGACGTTGAGTGATGTTGAGCTGGCCACGCCTACCCTGGCCCCTCGAGATCAAACACAACCCTGATGCGACCCTCAATGAAATCGAGTTTGACACCTCTAACCATTTCTTTAACAACAACAACTCTATCTAACCGGTAACACCCAAAATCAAAGTTTCATTTTTTTCCCCCACCTCAAGCACAAAGTCCAGAAGTGGTTTCCAGGTAGAAGTAAAAGTATTTGTATTTTTTTTCTTTGATCAGAACAGTCAATTTAGACATCTCTGCTAACTCCATCACAACCTAATGTGTGTTTAGAGGTAGTCCTTGACTTACAATAGTTCACAGTAACCATTCAAAGTTATTGAAAAAAGTGACTTATGACCATTTTTCCACACTTACAACCTCTCCATGGCCACGTGATCAAAATTCAGATGCTCGGCAACTGACTCCTATTTATGACTGTTGCAGTGTCCCGGGGTTCATGTGAGCCCCTTTTGCGACCTTCTGACAAGCAAAGTCAATGGGGAAGTGAGATTCACTTTACAACCGAGTTACACTTAACAACTGCAGTGATTCGCCTCACAACTGTGGCAAGAAAGGCCATAAAACGGGGCAAAATTCATTTAACAAATGTTTCGCTTAGCAACAGAAATCTTGGATTCCATTGTCATAATAAGTCAAGGACTATTTGTATTTGTATTCTGTCTTTTAGGTAAAATGAGGACCCAGATTGTTTGGGGCAATATGCTGACATTGTAAACTGCTTAGAGAGGGCTGTAAAGCACTGTGAAGTGGTATATAAGTCTAAGTGCTATTGCTATTCCTATCCAATGGGTGTTTTTGTCATTTGCAGTCAGAAAATGGCAAAGAAAAATATTGCCAATTGTGATCTTGTGGCTACAGGATGCTGCAATCAATTGTAAATGCCAGCAAAAGTTGGAAGAGACTTTGTAGGTCATCTAGTCCAACACGCCACCCAAACAGGAGACCTTCCATCATTTCTGACAGATTGCAGTCCAATCTCTTCTTGAAAACCTCCAGTGATGAAGCTCCCACAACTTCTGAATGCAACTTCTGTTCCTTTGGTGGAAACAGAAATAATTTATCCTTATTTCTAGGTTGAATCCCTCCTTGATCAGTCTAAGTGCTACGGCCTTTTATTATTTTCACTAACAACGCAAGGCAACGGACATATCCAACGCTTTACCTTGGCAAGGTCGTAAAGTTTGGCGGCTTCTTCAAACAATCCTTTGCTTTCTGCCACGGAGGCCACTTTGTTAATAATTGGTTTGGTGTCTCGAGTAAACTTGTCAATAACTCCAGTCTGATGAAAGATGACAAATTAAAAAAAAAAAGGTGAGATAAAATATTTGGAAAACCAAATAGTGTCAGGCCCAGCCCAAGAGCGATAGAGAACAATCCAGTCAATTATTTACTAGCTATAGTAAGAATCTTGCCAGACTAAACCTTGACTGCTCTCACCCAAACGGAGATACCCTGAGAGATTCTAGAGCAGTGGTGGCTAACCTTTTTGCCATCGCGTGCCAAAAGCGGGGGAGTGTACGGGCGTCATGCAGGAATGTTCCCCCCTCCCCCCATTTTTGGCACACAATGGCACGGTGGACCCATTTTTCACTCTCCCCAGGCTCTAGACTCTAGCCCTTTCTAGGAGCCTGGAGAGGGTGAAAAAGGCCCTCCCCACCACCGGAGGCCAGAAATGGCCCATTTGCCAACTTGCTGTCGGACCGAAAGGCCCGTTTTTCACTCTCCCCCGGCTCCAGAGACTTTCTAGGAGCCTGGGGAGGGTGAAAAAGGCCTTCCCCAACACCCCCCGAGGCCCTCTGGAGGCCAAAAACAGCCTGTTTCCCAAGTTCTGGTGAGCTGAGCTCGCATGCCCACCAAAAGCGGCTTTCCATATTCTCTTCCTTTGTCTTGATCCAGTTCCGGGCTTTGCTGCCTCATTTGTCCCCCACTCCACCCCTTCTTGGAATGTGCTTCCTCTTTCTGGGAAAGTGGGGGGGGTCTCCCACCCCCAGTCTGGGAACCGGCACCATTCCACAAGGACATGCAGGATGCAGGCAGTGCACAAACCCACCACGTCCCACCCAAGTCCCTGGAGCCCAAAGGTTTGGGGGCCAATGCTATAGTTCATCACACTGCCCGCCCCTCACTTCGTAGACACATTCCATCAGAATGGTGATCAATTCCTGAACTCTCTATAGCTAGTGATTTCAAGTACACCTAATTTTTTGTTGTTGCAATTCTTTCATCTCTTATTTATAGGTTGTATACACAGCTAGATAAGACTGCAATTAAAGATATTCCGAGATGATAAGTGAATGATTAGATAAGGTAAAGTTTCCCCTCACACATATGTGCTAGTCATTCCTGACTCTAGGGGGCAGTGCTCATCTCTGTTTCAAAGCCGAAGAACCAGCGCTCTCCGAAGATGTCTCCGTCGTCATGTGGCCGGCATGACCAAACGCCAAAGACACACAGAACGCTGTTACCTTCCCACCAAAGGTGGTTACTATTTTTCTACTTGCATTTTTTACGTGCTTTTGAACTGCTAGGTTGGCAGAAGCTGGGACAAGTAACAGGAGCTCACTCCGTTACGCAGCGCTAGGGATTTGAACCAGCGAACTGCTAACCTTTCTGACTGAAATCCTCAGCGTCTTAGCCACTGAGCCACCATGTCTCTAGGTCCCACAAATAATAAATAACATTGAAGCTAAATAAAATGATTTTCTGATTAAAGTGGTCACCGTAGGAAGTCTAACTTCAGCTGACATTTGAACGCATTTCCTGTTACGAAAGATGTAAAGATGAATAATGCATCTGCCATGTTGCAAAAAAAAAAAACCCAAAAAAAACCATTATATATTTTAAGCTGTCTGCTCCTTCTTGTTGCTACAGAGTTGGTAAACTCTGAAGTTTTCACCGATTCATCTGAATGCTGGCTTTGCTCAAATCCCTCTCCCAAAAAAGGTTTTTCCAAGTTATTAATATTCATAGTGAGCCAAAACATGCTAAAACATCTCAAGGTTTTTGTCTCACAAAAGAGATTCCTGGTTTCCAACAGTATGTGAGAACATTTGTGAAATTATTTTCATTTATTTTCTCCTTTGGTGTATTTTGCTATAAACAACATATATCCTCTAATTCAATTTAAACATAGAGGGCATTTCTTTCAATTTTTCTACAATTAACAATATACTATAATTTTTTGTTTCTTAATTAATTACATAACAATAACAATCATACTTGATCTACTAATGTAACTCTTTTCCCTTTTTTTCCTGTTTTAACCATTTTCTCTTGGGCTCTCAAAAATTCCACTTTTAATTCTTTTTCTTCTTCTCCCCCTATCTCCTAACTTCTTCTTTTTCTTTTTCCTATTTTTGTGTCAACCGGACGGGGCTTCAAATGGGCCATGTGACTAACTGTTTGAGAAAAGGGGGGAAACTTTTTTATTTTTAATCAGGTTAAAACAGTGGGAATATTCAGTGTCGGTTTTCACCTGTTTGTGCCAGTATGTCTAATAAACCAATTCTTTCAGCAACCTACTTGCCTTGGAGTTCTGTTCATTACGGATGTATTACTTGGCATCCTGACATTCCCAATGTCTTTTTTTCAGCTTGAGATGTTGGAGGGGATCCTTCCTGAGCTTCTTTCTCTGCCCAGCTGCAGGTTCCCCTGCCCCCTTATTGGATCATTCCCTAGGCAACATCCCTACTCCCTCCTTTGGTCCCAAGGCCATTCCTACATGCCATTACATCCAGACCCTTCCTGGCCCTGCCTTCCCCAGATGACCTAAAACTGTCACAGCAAGAGCTGAATCTTCCTTAACTAGCAATTTAAAATGGCTCTCTGCATGCAAAATGAGAAGCTGTGCCAGGCTTCATATCTGACTCAGAAGAAGAGCTCCGGAAATGCACAGGGATGGCAGCAGAATTTATCTGCAACTGATTAAACAGGGAAACACGAAACATGCGGTGTTCATGAACCGCCGATGCCCAAACAGAAACCCGCATGTTTACGGGTTGGGTTGATTCACATGTGGAATGAAATAGGATCATTTTTTTCCAAATATGGAATGAAGTGTACAATTTAAATGACTGCGGTGGTAAAGTGGGAACAGTGCAGTGTTCTGACCTAGGCTTCCCCAGCAGCACGAAGCCGAATCCTTGTCCTGATAAACCCCTTTTATTTAATTCACAGTGAATTCCTCTCCAGCAAAGTCTTCTCTCTCCCACAGTCTTTCAAGTTAGTTCACAATTACCGACCTTTATCAGGCTTGGAGATATCTTTCTGCTGCCATAATACTTGGCAAGAATGCGGGAATGAGCTAATTCTCTCCTGCAAATTCCACTCCCCTTTCGCTCCTCTTTTATTTCCTCTGGGAGGGGCCATTCACCATCCACCTGTGGCCTTACTCCCAAGTCGACCCTTGATCCTTAGCTGTTGCCTTCATCTGGCAACTCTGTGCATGTGCATGCTGGGAACAGGCTCCAGCTGTTCTTCTGCCTCACTGATGTCTGACTCCGAAGGCAGCTGATAACTGTTGGACGGCCCTGGCCCCCTCTCTGCCTCTGACACAGAGCCCTCATCCAAGCCTTCCCCAGACTCCAGGACTGGCCCATGTTCCTCCCCAAGCTCCTCACTGTCCAAATCTGCTGCCAGCTCTGCTGGCCGCTGGTGGGCCACAACATGCAGTCCATCCAAAAGTAATAATAGACAAATGGCATTTCCAATTCTTAAATACTTCAAAACAAATACTGTTTTTAAACTAACAGCAGAAAGCCCACTGCCTATTCTTTCATTTCTGACATACAATTCAATAATATTTTGGCCTTATACTCAACATTCAGTGTCATTGGGCTATTGAAAACAAGGGAAGAGATCTATATAAGAAGTTACCTTTCTACTGCCATCGTTCTCCAGTTTTCCAAGAATCATGTCAAACTATCCATGGAAGAAAAAAAACAAAAACAGAGTTAGGGGAGTTATACAGGTACTCCCATTATGAGCCATGGTAGTGCAGTGGTTAGAGTGCAGTGCTACTTCTGCTGACTGCCAGCTGACTGCACTTTGGCAGTTCGAATCTCACCGGCTCAGGGTGGACTCAGCCTCCCATCCTTCCAAGGTGGGTAAAAATGAGAACCCAGATTGTTGGGGGCAAATAGGCTGACTCCGTAAACTGCTTAGAGAGGGCTATAAAGCACTGTGAAGCGGTATACAAGTGTTATTGCTATTATGAATCATCTAGATTTTAATGGATACAGGCAGTCCTCTGACAAATTGCTGACAACTGTTTGAAGTTACGACCGATCCACCAAAACTTACTTATGACACGTTCCCCAAATTACGGCTGCTGAAGCACCTTTGTTGTCATTCGCCCTTATCAGTGACCACAGTGACCCTGTAGTGGCCACACCCCACCAGGTATGATCCATCTCTCAACATGCATTCTAAATAGAGAATGGGGGGGGATGCACCCTATGCATGTCCCAAATGAGCTTTTTCAGGAGGCAACTGGACTTTCTAGTTTTTTCTTTGAAGACCTTTCGCTTCTCATCTAAGAAGGTTCTTCAGATCTGACAGGATGGTTGGGAATGGAAGGATGTATATTCCTTGAAGATAGCTGGTCATTTGCATCCTTTTAGAGGGTCGTTGAGGCCACTTGGAGGTTTATCTCTGTCCTCAGGGTCACCTGAGCGGCGCTCCTGGTTCCTGCAGTCTGCAGTTTTTTGGAAATCTGTTCATACACCCATCCCATGAACAGATTCCACCACCACCACTACCCCCGCAAAACTGCAGACTACAGGAATCATTTGCACCACTCAGGTGACTCTGAGGACACAGATAAAACTTCCAAGTGGCTTCAAGGACCCTCTAAAAGGATGCAAATGACCATCTAACTGCAAGGAATATAAATCCTTCCCTTCCCCACCATCCAGTCAGAGCTGAAGAAGCTTCTTGGATGAGAAGTGAAATGTCTTCAAAGAAAAAAAACAAGGAAGTCCAGTTGCCTCTTGAAAAAAGCACCTTTGGGGCAACCATGACCAGGATGGTTGAGAATCTTTACAGACTTCTATTTTTGTTTTGCTTTTAGTATTGCTGTTTTAATTTATTGCTTTTGTTTGTGGTACTATGACCGTCATAAAGATGGCAATTGTGAAACATGAAAAAAAATAATCCGGGGATTTCTGGACCCAGCAAGAGAGTCTCAAGTGCAGAGTAGGCCCCTCTTATGAAAAGCAGGAATTCCAACCTAACAGGAGGAAAGTCACCAGATGGCCCCTTGCCTACCTCTCGGCTCTCGATCACCAGCTCGCTCACACAACGCAGGAACATGTTTTCACCTTGGCTGTCCTTCTCGTTCCTAAAACAAGGACCACAAAGCGGTCAGCACCGTGGATCCCGCTTCACGATTGCAGCCATTCAAACCCAGGCACCCTTCCCAGCTTTCACTTAAGTAGGGCAGGAACCAACCTGAGGAAATAGAAGTACTGCAAAGCTTCCCGGGGGTCCGTCGACTCGAACTTGCGGGTGTACAACATCAGGAGCCGGACAAAATTCAGGCGCCGGGTGGCTGGAGGGCCGCCAGCTTCATGGCTCACTGAAACGGGAATGAGACAAATATCATGCAATGGCACCGTTTTGTTCAAGAAGGAACGATGGCTATCCAGAAGGACAAAAATCTACATTGACAAGCAACCCGCTTCCAGTTCCCAGACATTCAGAATGCAAAGATTGAAAACCTTTCCAAAGGTCTCTAACCAACAACCTATGACGAGAAAAGCTACTGGGAAGAGAGTAAGACAAGAAATTCTAACATTGTTGTTTTCATGCCCCCGTCGGAGCCTGGGTTTGTGGAGAAGGACAAGCCAGACTTGGAGCCGAGGGAGGTCAAGGGGGCAGCTTCGTATCAGGGTTCCAAATAGCATCCAAAATTAAATCACAGTCCAAGGCAAAGTATTGCTAAAAGTTCCAATTTATTAAGAGAGCCACGTTGGCACATTTGGGAAAACCCGAATCTAAAAGCTTCCCGGTTTTCCCCACCCAGTTGAAAGTTCACAACCTTGCCCCCACACTCACCAGCCCATCCCATGGTCCAATCTTCCCCTGCCATGCTGGCAGTTCCACCCATCTAGTTCCGCTCAGGTGCAGAGGTGCAAAGACAAAGGATGACCTTGGCTTTCTAGAAAGAATTTTGTTATGGCTACATCGCATCTAACTACGTACAATCCCCATTCCCATTTTCCCACAATAGAAAAGGCATAGT